CCCCTACTACCAATCGGGATCGGCTTCCTTCTGTAGTTCCGGAAAGAGCCGTTTCACCAAGCGCATCCATAGAACATTTGGAAGAGGTCTAACCGTTGGTTTATCCCTTCCAGGTAGGGAAATGACCACTGCCTTGAATAAATGACACCTTGGAAGCCGACGAAGTCAACTTCAGTAGGCTCCGCCTTAAATCGTGGATGTTATCACGGAATTCTTTCGACTTGTCCTTGAATGAAAGACCCTGAAAGTTTTTCTAGACGCGAAGAGGTCGACTATTTCACAGGCTCTCATAGTCGATCCGACGCCCTTGATGGGAATAGCCTTTCTCCTCGGTGGGAGAAATTCATCAGCTCCGAGGCCGGCGCTTTGACGTTTGCCCCGTTTGAAATGTGTGTTTTTACCAGTCCTGGCGTATGAATGTGCATCGCGTCGTGTTATGTTGGATCGTTTAATGGTCCATAGAAGCAGTAGACGTCATTGTAAACACGTTTCTGGCCCTTGCGAGGCTTGTAAGGAGCGATAATTGTTCTGGCTGTGCCTAAGTGTTGCCGAGGAGTAAAGGAGTAACGAGGTGTTGGGCGTGGTCCAAGTGGGAATGGTAAATGTGGCAGTAAGCGATTGGTTTGTGAGTTAGGGTGAGCTGAATGGTAAAAACACCGTCTTCTTCCTCGCTGACCGTCAGACGTGCCGTTTCGGATGACAGGACATCAAAGTGAATGACAAAGAGGACACCACCTGGCATATCCCTCGGCCTCCGGATGAAGGAGGGGTCCCCCTGGAGAACAATTCAACACCAAAGCTGCAAAGCCCATTGCGAGCTCATTCCGCGGGAACCTTAGGACTGGTTCGACTTTCAACTTACATGGTAGCTCGGCGCTAAGAGCCTAGGAGTCTCCCGCACTTCCGTCGATGGAAGATCACTGAGGAACAGGGGCCCTTCGAATCGAGGCTGGTTGGACAAAGTTCAGAAGACCTGTTCAGAAGGAGTTCAGGAATCTCTTGGGGTAGGGCAAGGTTTGGGAGATAGGTCATTGCAAGGTATGAGAGGCAGTCCTTCTTCTGGCCAGGTATGAGAGGCACTCCAGAATGGTATACCTGGGCAGGAACCTCGCACACTGGGTATACGCCACAAAATTCTTAGACTAGATATGGTATACCTTCGTAAAATACACCCAATTTCTGTACATTTTTTTTTCCCGATACGGTAGCCTGACTCGAAATGGTGCAGAAGGTCTGCGGATCGTCTGTTTAACTGAGTTTTTGGTTTGCTGCTGAAAAGAGATGCGAAAGGAATGTAACTTGTCCTTCAGAAGAGGATACGGTAGCTCTTTTTCAATTGGTGCAGTAGTTTCACGGATGTCCGGACCGGTGCAGTAGATTTGGGGCTTTCCCGTCCGTTTTGATTGCTAGTTACTGTAGGAACGAGCACTTAAAGGCGGCTCGTTAGCTTCGAAGGACTTATCGTAAAGCGCTCAATGATTTGCGAATCATAATCAATTCAATTAAATGCTAGGACTCCGGTAAGGAGGGACCTTGCTGCCATCCGTGACTTTTAAAAAGACCCCATCTGTGAGGCTATGAAGAATGCGCACTGTTGTAGGAGTTGGAGCTGGTTAGAGTTGAGGCATAGAGCTCAATTCCAGCTTTGCAGCGCTCAGATAGATCAGGACAGCAGATGGACCTGGTTAGGTGAGCTGTGTGGTCTTTGAGTAGATCCTAGCGGGTTCACGGGTGCATGGCTCAACCCAGCAAAATGTTTGTCGGTTAAAAGTAACGTAAAGGGTCCGTGGGTGCTATACGGCTTGGAAGGGGTGTTTTGCGCGTTCATTAGTTCTTTTCGCTAGTTCATGTCATCTAACAGGTCTCATTTTGCGTGAGACCTGCAAAATCTTGTAAAGCTGTGGAATCTTACAAGTGAGCCACTTTGGTTACAAGAATTTACAAGTTTTTGCGAGGTAACCTATAAAGGCATCGCTGAGTACCATTTCGTGCCCCCACCAAACCGCACTGGGCCGGTTTCATGCATTGGATAGGTACCATTGATTGCGAAAAAATAAGGAAATATGAGAAAAATTTGAATGAAATGCTTACCTGTGTACGTGTAACCTCTCGCCAGATGTTACTCGATCGTGATTTACAAAAGTCGACTTCACTTTGCATCACAGACTGCATATGTTGCATATAGTTGTAGAGTAATGGCACAGATATCACACAAACCAGTGTGGCGACGGTCGACACGGCTACGCCGAAAAACGCGACCCTGAGAGAATAAGTGGATATTAGTGGGGAGATTTACGCAGATTTCAGGCTATTTTTCAATTTCAAGTCCACCACATAGCACTTAGCGGTCGTGTACCTTTCAGACGACTCTTCTTCAGCCTATGAAGTCGTTGAAGCGCTGTCCGCCTTAGGAGGGGGAGGGGCATTTTGCTTTGCCGCTAATTTCTCCTGGTATTTCATGTTAATTAACGGATTTCACTTTGATAAGACCTGTAAATCCTTGTAAAGCTCCGAATGTTCAGCTGAGTGGCCCTGGTAACAGAATTTCGCAGGTCCTCACAAGGCGGCCTGTGCAAGCTTCACGGAATAGCAGATGGTGCCCCCCCACCCAGCCAAACTGCGAATTACCCTGGAGATTCTCAGTCAAGGACCTTATGCATTCTTTTTTCTACGAGATTGGAGAGTGGGTGGGCGTATTGATCAGGGTTTAAGCTCAGTCTCAACGATGAGCGAGCTTATGAGAGAAATGCTCCTTCTGAGTCCAACAGCGCCTAGCTGGGCCCTCTCCTATTTAATTAGCCTGAAAGAAGGCTGGCCATTATCCGAATCCTCCAGAGACTTATGTGGTGGATGCGGTTGCAGAGGTACGTGGCCTGGTATCGGGCTACCCTAAAGGGCGGTAGTCCTAACCCGGTCCTTGGCTAGTCCCTTAATATTTCATCTACTCAGAAAGTCGTAACTAAGCGAAAACACGGTGCTTCGGAAGTGAAACCACTCAAGGCTCAATTAGTCTCTGGGTTCATCCTATAAGGACTAGTTTAGGGCCTGAGTTCGTCATTGAGCTAAAGGTTTAGGAGCGGTGGGGCGCTTCTCAGACCGATACATGGTAAGATGAGCTCTGAATCATCTTCCTCTCAGGATGTCAGTTACAGAGCGTTTTGAATCAAGCAGTACCAAAATAGCGTCCAAAAGATTTCAGAACCCTGTAAAATGCCCAGAGTAGGTGTGAAAGATGGTCACCCAGGATAGGTGAGCAACCCCTGTCAGTCCTGCTTCCCAAAAGGAGAGACGGGTTGTGAGCGGACAATTCTGTTCCGTAAGACATGAAGCTATTGAAGGTGTAGATGCGCAACTTCCTGTAAAGCCCCCCCCCCCCCTTGAGCGCTCGGGTTCCCATAATTGGCGCCGGCAAGTGGATTATCAGTGATACGACATAGTGTGGAGATAAAAGACATCATATTCGGCTGGCTAATAAACGATCAAATCTCGTTCTTCCACCGGCTAGTTAGCCAATCAAGCAAATATACCAGTTATTCGATAAAGGGAGAGAGACGAACTAATCCCAGTCGGGATAAGGAACACGTGCTTTCCAAGGCACCCAGTATGTTCCAAGGACCACAAACTCAGAGGAGGCGTCTTCAGTGCGATAGCACTGAAGACAGAGCCTGCCCTGAGCTATACGGGGAAAAACGGTCCAAAGCAACCAGGAAGACACTAGAACTGATAGAAATGCAGTGGCAACAGCAAGAAGTGCTATTAGGAAGATGACAACAGTAATCGCCAATTCAAATTCAAGATTAAAATGGCTTGTGCGGATCAAGAGATAGTCCATTACGGTAGGTAGAGTAGAGTAAGGTAGAGATTACCTTCGGAGCGTGACAGCCTCGGCTTCAAGTCGCTTAGCGTCGTCGTCCATCATCGCTAGGGTAGTATGACGCCGACGGTGCGCTTATATACCCCCGCCCATTGGGCACGATGCGCACACGCACACACCTTCCATCGCCCCAGCCACGCCCATTTTGAAAACAAAACACATTCGCTCACGAACACAACACGAATCGCGGAAAATTGGCCAAACGTAGGCCGATTTCGGCCAATACAGTACTGCTAGTTACTACTGAGTAAGACTACCAGGAGTGACGATCTGAACAAGGCCGACTTGTTGCGCAGATTAATGTTGTAGTCACTCTAAACCTCATTGGTAAGGGGCAAGCGAGAGCTGATCTGTTGCTTCAAACAACTTCCGATCTGCTATGAAGGATTTTTGAGAGAACTACGTCAGGTATCCTAACCCGTGAGCTAAACATAGCGCAGGAACTGCATTTGTTGAGTGACAGAGGAGGGTCTTAAGCTGTGTCCACTCCCTGGTTAGTGAAAGGCTTGCCTGAAGTAGCGCTCTGTCGAAAGGCAAGGGCATAGCGGCAAAGCGACGTTCTTTCCCAGGCCGTTACCCGTGAGCATCTGCGGGAATGCCTTCCATCTTTCTGGGACAAGTGGCCGGTACTGGGTTATTGAGAAGCTAATAAATCATAATAAAGCCAATAAACCAGTGAGCCTCTTCATCTCGGCGTAATGGATAGCGCATTTGCTTGGCCGGCGAGGGATGAGAGTCCGATGAGTTCGTCCAGTTCGAGCCCTGAATGGAGTTCGACTTTTGCCCATATTCAACACTTTCAGAGCGCGAACTGCGATATTAACAGTAGTCAACGCACTGAAACACCTCTTCACTTCGCGGACAGAATCCAACACACTCGCTTATTGGGGGGGGTTTATCTCTAGGTTTTAATCGTCTTCTGGAAATGCTGAGGCCATTGAGGATTAGGCTGCGCATTCTTGAAGAGGTGTTCAGAACCAGTCACAATATTTTCTTTTTCCTTGTAAAAGGAGTGGTGAGGGGTGCCGGATACCAACGGCCCTGCCACTGTCGTGTTAGCTTCCGCTCATATGAACCAGAGTCCGAATCTTCTTAAGATCGCTCCACTGGTAACGGATCAGTTTGGAAGGAAACTCTGGTGGGCCAGGTTATGCAAGGGACGTTCTTGCGGTCAAAAGCGTTGTTCCGCTGACTTTCCGCTCGGGGCCACTGAACTTCCATTTCTCGGAGTCTAGGTACCAGGTTGTCTAAGAGGATGAGAAAATTTTATGATTTTCGGTCGGGTCCAAGCATGTCATTAAGGGACAGAAAATTCGCGCTCAGCGCGGGATGTGATATGCGTGGCGCATCCCAAAAAGGAGTCAGCCTAGAAATGCTAAGTCCTTAATTCTGCTCTAGCCTTTCTTCTAGTGTTCCGATAAGTTTTGAGCCCTTTGGCCCTCACCATCTTCTTTTTCAGTCCCCCCACTGCCAACTGAAAATATTTTTTTATACAGCCCTAATTCTGAAGTTTTTCCAAAAAGCACTCATGCGGTACTCTGTCGAATCTCCCAAATCACTCTCGAGACACTCAGCCGACTCTACCATGGTCTTGCGCGATTTCTGTGAGCTCAGACCGGCACGCTTAGCAGCTGAGAGGTTCAATAGTTCTTAGGCCTCGTCTGAACTTTTCAAGTGCCTCCGCAAAATCGATGCTGTTGAATAGAGAGGCTAAAAAAAAACGGTTTTCACTCAGGAAAGCAAGAACGAGTTGTCGGAGCCGAGAACAATCGATTCAAATGAAACAGGTCTGACACCTCTGGAGCTCCAACATTGATTGATGTGGATGCCTTTGATGGAAGTGTTCATACCCCCCCCCCCCCCTCTCTTCCATCCAAGCCTTTTGACTCTGAAGTGTTCCGAAAACCCATGTACGATTGGTTCAGATTTGTGTCGAAAATCAGATTAAGTTAGTCAAGTTCCGCAGTTGCGTCTAGTGACCGCCCACGATCCATATCTCTGGATTTGGGGTAGGCGTGGAAATGTGCCCTATATGAGCGTGGCGTGGAACGCGTTTTTCGTGGGAGATTCTAGTCAATGCAGCCGTCATCCCATCTTCTAGTGGATAATGATATGACTATAGTTGTCCTAAATGGATTATATACCACCACAATGCTGCAGTCCTTGACCTATGCCGTCGCAGACAACGCCCCTCTGTCCTCGGGATATCAGTGTGTATTATCCAGTCCTTAAAAGGATTCAATGGAGGCATTTTCTTGGTTATGCGCTCGCCACAACGAACGGCTCAACTATCGGGCTTCCTCACTTTTCAGTGAGCCACTAAATGAGACGACTTTCATTTCGTCAGCGATATCCCAGCCAGCTGAACATTTCTTGAATAGCTGACCTTGTCGGGTACGTTTACGTAGGTACGGCAAAGGTTGCCGATGCCATCGTCAATTATAGATTGTACTTGTCCCCGTCTCGAATCTCCCCCATGTGACACACACGAAGATGATTTCCAAAGTGAACGATGAAATTGGTGAAGGGCGTGTCACCCATTGGTGCCAGCCAAGTGATGTTCTCTAACTGGCGGTCGTCGTGTTCAGGCTACAACCTGGTAATGGCCTGTCTCGCTTTTTGGAACCTCGTTATAAATTGTACGTTCTTACACGGGGCAATCCCCCCCCCCTATCCTCATGTTCTTCACCTTCTAGCCTCAACCACTAATGCAACAACTATCTGAACAGCAAAAACTGTTCTAATTATACAACTGTAACCGGTGTAAGAGCTCATCCAATCATTTCGGATAAAAACGCCAAGGAAGCTGCTCAAGCGCACATCTAGCAGCTTCATTCAATCGTATCGTAGTGATACGCGCTAGCCGCGTTTCGACGGATGCCCCTGACACATGGTAGTCGTTTCGAAGAGTTATTCCTGTCATACTTTGTGATGAAACTGCGGTATTCCACGAGTTCCACGGATCCGAACTTCAGGCAATTGCTTCTCGATAGCTTCTCGAAGTAATGAGATCTTACGGACAGTGATTCATGACCAAGCACTCAGCGCTTAAGAAGAAAATAATAAAAAGACGAAGGAGGAACTTGTAGACTTTAAACGATCCTTTCGATCTGCATTGGACTTCATTTCGGACTTTTAGAAGTACTTGTATGGATACGTATCGAGATAAATGTCAGCCGGGTTTCAGTAAGACCCCTCACAGAATGAGGATGCTCGCTGCAAGCCAGGGCACCCATCGTTGTGAGTTAATCACAACAGGGGTGCGTAATTGAACGCGGAGGGAGGGGCGTCGTGCATCGAAGAAAATTGCGTACTCATAGTTGATTTCTCAGGTCGTTACCGACGCTATAAGGGGGGGGGTCGTATTTGAGCATGGAATTAGGCGGGTCGTATTTTTAAGGAGTTTATTACAGCGTGATGGCGTGGGTTGGGCACATCCCTCCTCTCACATCCCATCTTTAACCCCGCTCGGTCGCAGGGTCTCTTGTTAGACGTCGCCACTTGTTCTGATCTAATGCGCTACTTCAGTAAGGTCCCTCTCAGTTTCGCCAGCCGAGCTTTCTTTTGCGGACTTCCGTGTCGCTGCCCACCTGGAGTCTAGCCCCTTTATCCGTGGGTCTCAGGCCTCCCTAGATACGCTTCCATACTCATGGTATCACGTGCTTTTCAGCCTGCGATCGGTAACCGTCCTGATGGACCGCCCCTGACGTGCTCGTTCCTGACTCTTCTTAGGTCGTGTCACCCGCAGGCCCATCTCAGCGTCCTCATTTTATACGAATGGGGCTGCTATTCATGATTCTCGCATATAGGCCAACTTTCCCTGTCGCCAGCCTTACCGCTGCCCGGTAAACTGTGCCATTGAGCGTTTTGGAGGATCGTCGGGCGTAGAGGATGGCTGTCACTTCTCATATTCGTGCTCGTTGCATATATTCTGGCCTTTACCGCCAGATCCACGCTACCATCAGCTCCTGGATCGTTCCTCAGGTATTGTAGTCCTTTACCCTTCCGATGCTTTCGCCATGGCGGTCTACGATGGGTTCTGGGCACTCTTCGGAACTCAGAAATTCGGCTTCTTCACTTTCGGCACGTGTTCATTCTCAGCGAGCACGTGCTACCACCTTTGCATCTTTGTTCCTTACCTGGAAATCTTTCTTACTATCTGCTACCAGGACAATTTGTTTGGCGTAGAGGATGGTTTTCGGCCCTTTATCATGCTTTTCTATCTCAGACTTATCTGTTTATGGTACGACCCTTTTCCAATTTTTCAAAAAAATAACGGCCGTCGTGTCAGCGGGGTGAGGGCGGGCAGGGGGGGAGAGGACGCAGTTTATCGACGGGGGGGCATTTGCTTTCCATAGATGTCGACCCATCTAGGTAGCGTTTTCTTGAGTTGACACGTTTTGGGATGGTGGCTAGACGATCCTGCTCCAGCTTTACAAGCGTTCACAAGTTTTACCAAAGTGAGATTTGCAAACCGGAGCAAGGGAAGCAGTGATAGTACAAAATGCCCCCCGTCGATAAACAGCGCCGAGAAAGAAAGGGTTATAGCGCACCTGAAACAGCAAAAACTAGAGAAAGTCAGTAACCGAAAACATGCTTTTCGAAAGCAAGTACGACCCCCCCCCTCTCATCCCTCCAGCGACCAGGTACGACCCCGTCGCTGGGATCCTTTGACATGCCCCGATTCCCGCAGGGACCATAAAAGCAGACTTTAGAGGGGTAGCCAGTTCAGTGACTAAGAACTCGTTCTCCTACCGAAACCACAACTACCCCAGAAGGAGGAGTTATTGTGAATCCATCAAGACGACACTATTGTTATTGCATTGAGTCGAACAACCCGTTTGAGGTTGATGGTTTTTCGAAGAATGTGCCACGCATTCGTCTCCCTTTGTGAATTGCCAGAGGACTTTGTCATGGATGCGAGCTACAAGGGTTTTTGAGTACACGATATCTGCTCAACCTTCAATTTCCTGGAGAAGGAATTTGTCAAGCCGAGTGAAAATGATGTGAGGGGAGGGGGCACTATACTACACTCAACGGTAAAA